CGACGGCCTCGCTGGTGCCACCTGCGCCGAGCCTGGGAGAGCCCCAGTGGGCCCTGCTACTTTACCCGGAGGAGCTCGGCCAGACGTCCAAGGCGAACCTGATCGACGAGGGGTTGTTCTTGAGCTCGCTCGCGTCGCAGGCCCTTGGCCCTTGGCTCAGCAGGCCGCTGCAGCACCGGCCAGGGCCGCGCGCGCATTGGTCGCGGCCGGCCAGCGGGTTCCGCCGCGACGTGGAGAAGCTGCTCGCCCTCCTCGGGGAGCCTGGCTGGGACATCTACAGCATCCGCCACGGCTGGGCCTCGCACGCGGTGGCGGTGGACCAGGTCCCGCTCAGGTCGGTGCAGGCGCGGCTTCGTCACGCAGCGCCGGGCAGCGCGGCCCTGTGCGCGCGGCAGGCCCGATATCTCGCGGAGCGCCATCGGCTGGGCCCGACCATCATCGCCTACGCCAAGACGGTGGAGGAGCGGTTGGCGCCGATCATCAGCGCTGGGCGCGGAACGACGGCGCCCCCAAAGGCTGCGCCGCCGCTGCACTAACCAGCGGCGCGGCCTGGCGGAGGGGCGACGCCGTTGAGTGCATGGCGCCAGTGACGGATTTGGCCCTTCGGAGGCGCCTCCGCTGCGCGCTGCGGTCCGCCCTCAGGAGAGGGAAGAACAAGAGCCAAGTCTTCGCCGAGATCTTCGCCGGCGCGGGCCGGGTCTCGGCAAGGTGGGCTCGCCGCGGGCCATGCGGCGTCATCACCTTAGACTTGAAAGACGACCCTGCCTATGATGTGAGCCGAACTGCGTTCCTCCGTATGCTGCGCGGCTGGCTGAATAGTGGCGTGGTGAGAGGAGTTCTTGTCAGTTTCCTTTTCACGACCTGGTCGCAGGCTTCTCGGGGTCACTATGGAGCGCCTGACTTTTTTATGGGGCCGTCCCAGCCTCTCGCATCAGAACTATCGCATCGTTCAGCGTGGAAGCTCGACGCTGCTGGCCACGGCTGACATCATCACAATGTGTATCAAAGCACGGGCGCCAGTCCTGCGCGAGAATCCCGCTTCCTCGTTTGCCCGGGCCACGCCTCAAATGATGGCGTTGGCCGCTCACCCGTCAGCGCGCAGTGCGACTACCGACTACTGCCAGCACGGCACTAGATGGCGTTAGCGAACCCGTTTTCTGGGCTGGGGACTCTTGCCCCCGCCTGCCCCGCTGCGGCGCCTTTGCAGCGGCTCCAGAGGTGTTTGCTCTCGGACCGGCAGGCCCCACCTTGTGCTGGAGGGCCGCCGGGAAACCAGTCAGTCGGAGCCGTACCCAGCTCCTGTCGCGCGAGCAGTCGCCGACTGGATCGCTCAGAGTGCGGATTTTCGTGAGCAGCGCCACCTGTGGCAGCTCGTGTCCTGATCCCCTCCCTGGTCTCCTCCTCTCCTTTGCTTTCGCTGCGCCTGCTGCTGCTCCTCTGTCCCGCTCCATCCTGCGTGCCCAGGGCACGGTCGGCGCTCCGCTCTTCCTTGCTGGCCAGCTGCTTCCGCCGCCTTCCAGCAGAAATTTCAACGAACGAAGCCCCGGTACATACATAGCAGCATTTTCAACGAAGGAAGCCCCGGTACATCAGCGCTCCTCGCTTTAGTTTCGTGTTGAGGTCAGTCAACCCATCGGTGGCTGCCAGGCATCCAATTCGGGAGTGGGAGCCGATGCATCGTTTCTGTGGCGGGTCTTCTCAGCATATCGCGTCACCGTGCAGAGGCCTTCTGAGAGAAGAAAGGGGAAGAAGGTTAAGGTCCCCTGGAGGTCTCACTGCCTTTTGGAGGCCTCGTCAGTTCTGGTCTGTAGGCTCAGGCATATTTATATACGTACGTACATAAATGTGTATATGTACATGCATATATCGATATATATATATATATGTATTCATCGATATATATATATATATATATATATATATATATATCGATACATATATATATATATATCGATATCGATATATATATATATATATATTTATATATATATATATGTATCGGAAGCACAATGGTGGTTCGGAGCGCAGCCTGAGGGCTGGGAGTTCCTGTGAAGTCCAGCCTGCCTGTCCAGAATTCGGCGTATTTTGTACCTCCTCTCCTCCTCCGTCCCCTCCCCTCGTCCTCCCTCCCTCCCTCCTCCAAGGAGTCGTCCCGATTTGTTCCATCAGGAGCGCTTGGAGCGCCCAGGCGCCCGGAGGCGGGGGCGCTTGGAGCGCCCAGACGCCCGTAGGGCGGCCTCCCTCTCCTCGCCTCCCTCGTCCTCCCTCTCTCCCTCGGTCCTCGTCCTCGTCTCTCCCCCCCCTCGCCGGTTGCATGCTCCAGCGTCGCCCTGGGCGGGCTGTCGCTATGCTGGCCCACGTAGAAAGCTGCGCCGTCTAGCAGGGGTCGCGGCACGCCGTGCGGAGACGCTTGAGGAATTTGTTGCGTGGGTGGCTGGTGAGCCGGACGGGTCAGCCACTGGGTCCCCGTCGCGCTCCCCGTCGGACCGAGGCGGACGCGGTGCGCCGCCGATGTCAGATTTGGGAATTTTCTTTTGCGTCCTCCTCGTCCTCCCCCTCCTCTTCCTCTTTCCTCAGGCGTTGTAGTGTCTTGCTTTGCCGTGTCCGTCTTGGTGTGTTGCCGAACGCCCTTCCGAGCTGGGCGGTGACAGGGGGCTCTGCCGTCGCAGTGGCAGGCAATCTGAGAATGCTCCTTGAGACACTCCGCGGACCAGCATGTTTCGTCGACGCTCTTGAGCCGCAGTCTTTGTCAGCCAGCTTCTTTCAAACTCACACAAGATGTCTCGAGCTCTTGCAGCTGTGGCTTGGGTCAGCTTGTGCCGCTCAACTGATCGTTGGCACTATGGCTTGACGGACTTTTTGAATATTACGGCGCATATCTCTGATGTTCACAGTTTCGGGCCATCCGGCCTGGGCATGCCATCCGGACATGCGGACGCATCCAGGACTTTTCCTCCTCCCGCTTTTCCTCTTTTCGTCCTCTTCCTTCTCCGTTCCAGCCTGTACGTGCATGGTGGAGTCCCCTTCCATCAGTTGGGAAGCCGGCAATTTTCATCGCGGGTATTCTCCGAGGAAACACATGATGATGATGATGATGATGATGATGATGATGATGATGATGATGATGATGATGATGATGATGATGATGATGATGGTGATGGTGATGGTGATGGTGATGGTGATGGTGATGGTGATGGTGATGGTGATGGTGATGGTGATGGTGATGGTGATGATGGTGATGATCATAATGATGAAGAAGAATAATGTGATGATGCTGATGATGATGATGGTGGTGATGATGATGATGATGTTAATGGTGGTGGTAGTGGTTGTGGTGGTGGTGGTGATGATGTTGCTGATGATGATGCTGCTGATGATGATGAGGATGATGATAATGATGCTGATGAAGCTGAAGCTAATCATGAAGATGAAGATGACGCTGCTGCTGATGATGATGCTGATGATGATGATGCTGCTGATGCTGATGCTGCTGCTGCTGCTGATGATGATGATGATGATGATGAGGAGGAGGAGGAGGAGGAGGAGGAGGAGGAGGATGAGGATGAGGATGAGGATGAGGATGAGGATGAGGATGAGGCTCAGGCTGAGGCTGAGGCTGAGGCTGAGGCTGAGGAAGAGGAAGAGGGTGAGGGTGAGGATGAGGAGGATGATGGGGAGGAGGAGGAGGAGGAGGAGGATGAGGAAGAGGAGAAGGAGGAGGAGGAGGAGGAGGAGAAGGGAAGAGGAGGAGGAGGAGAAGGGAAGAGAAAGGATGACAAGGTGAGGTCGAGTAGGAGAAGGAGGAAGAGGTGGAAGGGAATGAGGGAGGAGGGGACGGGGACCAGGAGGGAGGAGGAGGGGACATCATGGCGGAGGAGCTGAGGAGGAAGACGGAGTCCTGTCGCCATGCCCTGCTGGCAGGACCTAACCTCGCGGCTGCGGCTCTTCAAGCGCGTGGTCTTCCAGCACGGGCCCACGGTGGCCGAGAGGGCCAATTGCGCGGTGCTGCTGGGTGCGTTCTTGGTCGAGCCCGCCGCCAGCTCGACGACGACGACGACCGCCGCGGCCGCTGTCGGCGGCGACGACAAACACGGCATGGCGGAGGCGACGGCGGCAATGACGAGGGCGACGAGGGCGGGGGCTGGGGGCAGCAGGGACCCCGCCCATGGGCCATTCGCCTTCAACCGCGCGCGCTCCAGAAGGAGGACGACGAGGGAAATGTCGACGACGACGACGGCAACGACGAGGACGAGGACGAGGAGGGGGGGAGGAGGTGGACGTCGACCGCGACGACGATGGGGAGGTGGAGGAGGACGGCGACGACCAGGACTGGGAGAAGCGCGAGGTGCAGGAGGGTGAGAGGGGCATCTGCGGGAGAAGGGCGGAGGACGCTAATGCACCTCCGCCCTACCCCTTCCCTTCTCTCTCCATCACTTGTCCACCCCTCCTCCCCCCTTTCCCCTCCTCCTTCTCCTCCTCCGCATTCCTTTTTTTCTCCTCCCTTCCTCGTCCGTGTCCTCCATTTCCTCCTCGTCATCGTGCATCCTCTTCCTCACTCATCCTCCCCCCTCGCCGGCTTCAACCGCGCAGGTCGCAACATTATATCCACCCGCCCTCGGCGATGACGGCGTCGTTCACCATGTACCCAATCGCCACTCATAGCTACCTGAAATCAGGCTAGGGGTGCGTCTTAGGAGTGAGTGCTACCCCATCATGTTCAGACCCAGCATTTCCCCCTTGGTGGGGATGGATGCCTGGAAGCCCGAGGGAAACGGAACCCACCCCTGCCCAGGAGGGTAGGTTGGCTGGCGGAGCCAAGGGTTCCCTTGTGGGGATGGGGATGGCTTTTTTTGTTTAGACCCCAGACTGCCTACATTCGGATGCACCGAAGATGGATCCTTCGCCAGAGGGCCCTTGGTGCGGGCCCACTGGGGCCTCCCGATCGCCGAGCTTCGTGCGATAGCAGCGGCTTGCGCCCCCAGGTTCGGCCCCACGCGCCCCCTGGCGCCGCGCACCAAAGGCTAAACCTGCCCAGGGACAGCAGCCGATGCCTGGCTCGGCGGCGACGACAACGCCGACGGCGGCGTCGCAGCGGCCAGGGCTCGCGCCGCCCATGGCGGCCGGGGGCGCTGCTTGTGCGGCTGTGGCGGTTGAGGCGTGGCGGGGGCGGGTGCTCGAGAGCGTGGGCGGGCTGGACGGCGTGCTCGACACGCTGCTGCGAAACCTGGCGCTGTTACTCGAAGGTCCGAGGTCGGTTGGCCACCACCCTCCTCCCTCCTCCTCCCCTCCGCTCTCCCTCCCTAGCTCGTTCTCATTCCCTGCTCCTGTCTTTCTCTTTCTCGCTCTCGCAAGGCCACGCTGCGATCCCACGGTCGGCCGCCGCACGCTCGTTTGTGTCCTTGGGGCGCCCGCCGTTGCGCGGCGTTCCTCCACTCATCCTTTTCCTTTCCTCTCTTCCTCCTCCCCTCTCCTCCACTCTTCCTCTCCTCCTCTCTTGCTCTCCTCCTCCATCTGTTCCCTCCTCCGCCCCTTCCCTTCTCCTCCTCCTCCTCCTCCTTCGCCTCTTCTCTTCTCTGCTACAATCCATCCTGGCTCGGCGTCCTCCGTGGACTTGGGCTCACATCATGACATTGTTGTCTTGGTTTTCCTCGTGGCTTCCTTCCTCTCACACGTCTTGGGCTTGTCCCAGTACAAGGAACGGTGGGGGCATTTTTTGAGGCACGTACCCAGGATGCGTCAGTCCCAGAGGAGTCCTTGCCTGACGAGGCGGGCGGTGATATCCATGGCCAAGCCTGAGTTGGTGTTCCATTGGCTTGCGCACCTTGCATTCTTGATTCAACAATTATTGTATCCAATGCCCTCACAGACCGTAGCCTTTTTGGCTCAAGATGCCCTGTTCCCCCGTGGAACGCGTGGATACCGCTAGTCCGCGGCACTGTTCAGTGATTAATTCCTGTCCTCGGGGCCGCCCCCTTGGGCAGCTGCCTGCCGCTCCCGCGGCTGAGCAGGCCCCACCAGCCCCACCTTGCAGTGGACAAGGGCCCAAGGCACAGCCAGGCTATGTCATCTGCGCGGCGTGTCGGTTCCGCTGGAACTTTCGCAAGAACGAGTGTTGTTGGCAGTGCGGGCAGGCCCTCGAACTGCCCAAGGCCAATCCGTCGCCCCGCGGTGTCTGGAGCGATGGAGACTCGCCCAGTCCCAAGGGCGGCAAGCTTGCTGGTGGAGCGGGGGCACCGCCTACGAACGGCAAGGGCAGCGCGGCCCACGTCGGCAAGGGCGGGAACTTTGGCAACGGTCTGCCTGCCTTCCCGAAGGGCCCGTGGGCGGCCCGCCCAAATCTGAATTGGACGCACTGCTGACCGTTCCAGGACCCGTCCATCGCGGCCCAGCTCCGCCAAACGGTCGAGGCGGCCCGTGGCTACTCCTTGCCGCAGCCTGCCCCGCTCCAGCGGTCGTTGGAGCAGCAGTTGCAGTCTGCCACGGACCGCCGTCTCAACCTGCAGCGCCAGCTGGACGAGGCCGCGGATGTCATGGAGGCGGCGGAGGAGCAGCTCGCGGAGCGCCGCTCGTGGCGCGGCTTTTGTGCGCTCAGCCTCGCCGAGGCGCGGGCCGAGAGACCGCTTTACTCCACCGCCGCGCACGAGCCTCGCGCGCGGGCGCGCCAGTGGAGTCGGCGAAGCAGCTCACATTCAACTTCGACGCCGAGTCCCGCGATAACTTCGCGGAACTGGAGGGCGAGGCGCAGGAGCCACGCGGAGAACAAGGCGAGGCAATTTGGAGGCTGCTGAAGCCATGTCGAACCCGTCGGAGCCCGTTGGGAGCAGAGCCGAGGCCGCCGGCACCCCGCCGGCACCGCCGTGAGTTTTGTCCCCCCCTCCCTCCCTCCAATCTGGTCGGACTGGGCTCTCCGGGGAGGGGTTTGGGGAGGGGCAATGTTTCACACGCCGAGTGACCCCAAAGGGTCGGCGGATTTGATTCGATTCCTTTTTCCTCCTCTTCGTCCTCGTGTTCATTGGCCTTCACCCCCATCCCAACCTTCTCCCACCCCCACACCCCCCAACTCGTCGCCACGGCTGGACGCGACCCGGCAAACTGGGCGGGAAGGTGCCCAGGAGGTTACTGGGGACACGCTGTCCAGACGGGGAGGGGACCCTAACATTTGGCCAGCGTTGGGCCGTAGGAGGAGGGGAGGGACGATATGGAAAACGAGCATACTCGGAGTGTCTCAAAAGTTCTCGTTGGCTTCCGCCCACCCCCGGTGCATTCCTTCAGGATCCTAGAATCGACCCGAACGGCCATCCGGGGCCAGGGCTGTGGCCCGAAACGCCAACTCGAGAGGAGGAGGAGTCACCGAGCCCGTTCCACTACTCGCAAAGTACTTACTCGCAAACGTCCAAAAACATGTGTTTGCTTCGATGAGATTTATCATAGATCCACCGCGGCGGATCCAGGCCATTCGCGAGTAGTTACTTTGCGAGTTGTGGAACGCCCTCATCGAAGGAGGAGGAGGAGGAAGAAGAGGAGGGAGGAGGAGGAGGAGGAGGAGGAGGAGGAGGAGCAGGAGGAGGACGAAGGAATGGAGGAAGAGGAGGAGGAGGAGGAGGAGGACAAAGGAATGAAGGAGGAGGAGGAGGAGGAGGAGGAGGAGGAGGAGGAGGAGGAGGAGGAGGAGGAGTGAGAGAAGGGAGGCGGGGGATTTGATTTGTTCTTGTATCGTTTGTTGGGGCCTCCCAGGGGTTTCCTCATCGCCGCTGTTAGATTCGCTTCGAAATCCTGAGTCAGATGCCAGAATACTAAACCGACGAAGTTGGTAGCAGCGGGGGGCGCGAGCAGGGATGGAGACAGTCGGGGACAATGCCGAACCACCGCAATTTGCGGCAGCAACGGGTAAAGGGCAAGTACCAAGTACCGAGGCCAGGGACATTCAGGGACAGGGCCGAACCACGGATTGTCGGATGGGAACAAGCAACAATTGTGCCCCAGGGAAGTAAGAAACATTTGAACCGAAACGCTGATTCGTGGGGAGCGCGATCAATGATCAGCTGACTGGGGCACGCTTTTGCCGTGAAGCGGAGGACAGCCGCGCCCCGCGCCCCACGCAGGGCGAGGTCTGTGATCACGTGGTCGTCGTTTTCGTCGCCGTCGCCGTCGCCGTCGTCGTCGTCGTCGTCGTCGTCGTCAGAGTCGTCAGAGTCTTCGTCGTCGCCGTCTCAGTCGCCGCCGCCGTTGCCGTCGCGGGCGCCGTCTCGAGCGGGGGTGTGTCGGGTAGGCTGGGGTCAGGCCGCCCGCGCCCCCCCGCGAGTGGTCTGCCAGCTTGCGCCCCGCGTGGCTGCGGCAGAGTACCCCAGCAGGGTCCCCCCTCGCAGCAGAAGGGGTAACCAAGGAGGCGTGTCGAGGAGCCTACGACCACCACGAGGGTTCGAAGTTAGTCGCGCTTCAGGCTCTGGGCGATTTCAGAGCGAGACGCAAGTCCCTCATCCTGTTACGGGGGGGGCCGGCGCGAACGCGCCAAGAGAATCGCGCTTCGCGGAGCGCGAAGCGCGAAGATAGTTGTCCTGAGCTAGAAAGGTCATGAAGCGGGTCGAGAAGCAGGAGGTCGGCTGTAGGGTTCCTTTTCAGGGCCCCAGTGCAATCAAAAAGGATTCATGATGAAGCGATGACTCTTGGAAGAGGTCGCGAGCTCCACGGGACGGAAACTTCAAATTTATCTCAGCGATGCACCCGAGAGGCAGGTGAGAGCACGGCCATGTGCACCTCAGCGCATGTTTGTGAAAGGGATCGTGGCTGCCCGGACCAAACCTGTAGTTGGCACTTTGGCGAGGACACGCTTCCTTCGGGGGCGGCAAAGAGGGGGGTGATGACTAGGGGGGGTGGATATCATGGCGGGGGCCATGATATTTCCTCAGATTTTATGGCGCCTCTTCTTATTTCATTACCTCCCTGGCCCCCCCGCTGGGCCGCGCACATGCCGCATGCCGCCGGTCATGATTTGCCCCCCCCCATCTTGGACCCCCCCCTCTTGGCCGCTCCCGAGATTCCTGGGTAAGTTGTGGGGAAGCTTCCGGTGGGCCGGCTGCCAGGCCGCCTCCACACGGGGCGGTCTCGGGCTCCTGGCCCCCCCCCTTGTGGGACTTCGCTGTGTCTCCTGCCTCTACAGGCGCCCTCCTGCGAGACGCCATGGCGGACAACAGCTGTGCCCCCCCGGGCCCTCTCCTCTGGAGGCCGCGTGGCCCCCCTCGGCCCCTTCGAGAGGCCCTCTGCGGCCTCGGGGATGGCCCAGAGAGCTCAGCAGCAGGCCGGACGGAGGCCTCCTCGGAAGTTCGAGCATTCCCGCCCTGGACGTGATCGTCGTCGTCGTCGCCGTCGTCGCACGGCCCAAGGCGGCAAGGGCGCCGTCCGCGGCGTGATCCTGCACGGGCCGCCCGGGTCGGGCAAGTCGCACCTGGCGGGGGCCCTCGCGGCGGCCGCCGCCGGGGCGCCGTGCGCCGTCTGCGGCCCAGTGGACGTCTCCGCCGCCCTGTCGGGCTCGGCCCGCACGGTCCAGTCGCTCTGCGGCGCGCTGGCAGGGGCCACCCGCGGCGCGCGGCGGGCGGCAGAGGGCGGGGCCGCCGCCGTGGTGGTGGTGCTGGAGCGCGCCGAGGCGCTGTGTGCCGTGGGGGAGGACTGGTCGCCGCGGGGTCCCGAGGTCTCTCGCCGTCGGTGGCTTCCCTGGGCCAGCCACGGTCCCCGGGCCAGCCACGGCCCTCTGGTCCCAAGGGAAGGAGGAGGAGGGGGAGGAGGAGGGGGAGGAGGAGAGGAGGAGGAGGAGGAGGAGAGGAGGAGGAGGAGGAGGGAGGAGGAGGAGGAGGAGGAGGAGGGGGAGGAGGAGGAGGAGGAGGAGGAGGAGGGGAGGAGGAGAGGAGGAGGAGGAGGAGGAGGAGGGAGGAGGAGGAGGGAGGAGGAGGAGGAGGGGAGGAGGAGGAGGAGGAGGAGAGGAGGAGGGGGAGGAGGAGGAAGGAGGAGGAGGAGGAGGAGGAGGAGGAGGAGTAGGAGGAGGAGGAGGAGGAGGGAGGAGGAGGAGGAGGAGGATCCTTCCGACAGAGAATTGGCAGCCTCTCCACTGCCTCCACCTGCTGGGGAGCCGCCGCCGTGCCTCCCGTGGACAGGGCGAAACTCTGGTCACAGGGATAAGCCGTGGGATCCAGGACTGGCGTCCAGGACGCCAGCCACTATCCCCAAACGGTGCTTGCACTGAGGGGGTCGTCACGCGTGCTCTTAGGAGTTTGGGGTTTGCCTGTTGCACTCTCATGTGCTGATGTTTGGCCGCCGCACTGGCCCTCTTAGTTGCACTTTCCCATGGATGTTTGAATCCCCATCTTATGGCTTCCCACCTCCACTGCCGTACCGTACACATATAGGGGTCACCCACGCATTCTTAACATCGGGTTCCGCATACATGGGCTTCCACACGCATGCGGGTTGGCACATGGTGGTCCACAGACATGGGGTTCCATATGTGGTGCACGAGTAAGCTGTTTGGGGTCCATGCGCTGACCAGTTTATCAGCTTATCGTACAACCGAAATTTTTGGATGAGAAACTCTTGCGGTGTGGAAGGGGTTCGGGGTTCTTCAGGTTCTTCCTTAGGTGTTTTCCTCTGGCGTTCCTCTCAAAACCAGGCGCAATTGCGGCCAGAACGGCGCCTCGGTCCTTTCTCATGTTCCGTCTAGGCATCGGATTTGACTAAGCGCCTCTTTGAAGCGTGCTAGGCCTGGATACAGTCACGCCGATTTTCGAGAACCTTCTTTCTTTCCTTCTGGTCAAGCGCTTCGTCAGCGCCTTCCAGGAGCCTTGCCCAGTGTTGTGGCCACCTGCACCTTCATGGGGCAGCAAGTGCAAGGCGGATCTTGAGTTCGTGTGCCAGAAAATTGGCAACTATGTTTTGATTAGGCTGCGCCACTAGTCCCAGTAGTGACTGATCAGTCGGAGCTCTCCTGTGGTGCCGAACTTCGCCGCACTGGAGACTTCAGTTTCAGTCTTGAAAATTGTTGTTGGATCCCTTCGGGGGGAGAAACATCTGGGCGCCCTGCTACTAGACTAGGGGCCCTCGGTGAGCGGGAGAACGATGAGGAGGAGGAGGATCAGGGAGAAGGAGGGTAGGAAGAGGATGAGAGAGACGATGTGAGGAAAATGAGGAGGAGGGAAGAACAGGGAGGAGGAAGGAGGAAGGAGCCAGAGTAGGGATGGCGTTCCTCCGTCCTCCTCTTTCACCTCCACCTCCTCTTCGTTTCCCTTCAACATCTCCATCCCTTCCATCCATATTCATCGTCATCGTCAGTCTTCATCCCTCCACATCCATCTCTTCCTACTTTTCTTCCCCGCCATCTTCATCCCTTCCCAATTGTCCTGCGTCCTCCTCCTCCTCCTCCTTATCCTCATCCTCATCCTCATCCTCTTCCTCCTCTTTCATTTTCACCCAGCGAAGGGGCGTCTGAAGCAGCTGAGGCGCCGAGGAGGCCCAGGCATTTCTCTCGTGGAGTAGGCGGTCGGGAATCATTATCGGTCGCACGCCCTCCTCTATCTTCACCCCTCCCGCGGGCCGCTCAGGAAGATGAGGGCCGCGGCACGCGACTGGAGCTTGTCAGCGTGGTGATCGACCTGCTGCTGGCGGAGCTGCGGCTCTGGCGGGACGAGTCGCTGCCCGCAGTGTTGCTCGTCCCTTGGGCAGCCAAGGCACCTCTCCCTCCGCCTCTTCCTCTTCCTCCTCCGCCTCATCCTCCTTCTCCGCCTCCTCCGTCTCCTCCTCCTCCTCTTCCGCCTCCTCCGCCTCCTCCTCCTCCGCCTCCTACTCTGCCTCCTCTTCCGCCTCCTCCCTCTGCCTCCTCCTCCTCCTCCTCCTCCTCCTCCTCCTCCTCCTCCTCCTCCCAGCTTGCACTTCGCAAAATCATGATGTCACGTTCTCATGTGTTGAGATAGACGTAGCACCCCGCAGTCGCGGAGAAGAGTGAGGGGGCGGCGGGGACGTCGGCAGTCTGCGAGGCTCTGAATGAAGCCGCCGCAGGCGCTTAATTTTTACGAATTATACAACGAGCCCGCCGCAGGCTCCGATTTTCCTTTAAAGCAATGTGAGTGGGTCGCGGGGTGAGTCGCAGACCGGGTCGCGCGGGTGGGTCTCGGGCCGGGTGGCGGGCGGGTCGCGGGTAGGTCGTGGGTGGTTGCGGGTGGGTCGTGAGCGGGTCGTGGGCGGGTCGTGGGGTGGGTCGCGGATGGGTCGCGGGTGGGTCGCGGGGTGGGTCGCGGGCGGGTCGTGGATGGGTCGCGAGTGGGTCGCCAGTGGGTCGCGGGTGGGACGCGGGCCGCAACAACAACAACAACAACAACATTGTAATACTGTTCGCTCTTATCTGTTCGAGGGTCATTCAACGCGTATTTCCCATCGAGACCCGCCCTCTTCGTCTTCGATCGTAACCGTTTGGGGTGTATATTGTTCTTCCCTGCAGGCCGGGCCCCGGCAAGCGGCGGGGCTGCCGCGGACCGTCGGTCTGGCCAGTGGCAGCGCTGATCGGCGGCAACCCGACCCCAAGAGGGACGGACAGGGGACCGACCACGACGACGATGACGACGACGACGACGCTGGCGACGACGACGACGACGACGACGACGACGACGACGACGACGACGACGACGACGACGATCGAAAGCGAAAGCGAGAGCGAGAGCGACACCGGGCCTACGAAGGGCAGGAAAGGGGGCCACGAAAAGCGACAGCGGGGCCACGAAGGTCATGCACATGGGGCCAGGAAGGGCGCGAACGAGCAGGGGCCACGAAGAGAAGATAATGCGGGGCCACAGAGGGCAACAACGGGCCACTGAGGTTAGCAACGGGGCCACGTAGGACAGCGAGGGGGCCACAAAGGGCGACAGCGGGGCCACGAAGGGCATACACGTGGGGCCACGACGGGCGCGAACGAGCGGGGGCCACGAAGGGCATGCGTAAATTGGGCCGCAGAGGGCAAGGACGGGGCCGCTGAGGGCAGCAACGGGGCCACGAAGGGCAAAGAGTGGGCCGCCAAGGGCGACGGCGGGGCCGCGAAGCGCATGCATATGGGGCCGCGACGGACGCGAACGAGCGGGGAGGCACGAACTGGCTGTCTTTAGGGCGGGTTTAGGGTGAGTTGGTTGAGTGTTTTTGTGTTTTGATGCCGACGACGATTGTAATGATGGTGGTTATCAAATCGTAGTGCTGATGGTGGTGGCGATGGTGATGGTGATGATGGTGGTGCTCATCACATCCCAAATCACCATCATCACCATCACCATCATCACCATCACAACCGCCCTCACCATACCATCATCACCATCCCCATCATCATCATCATCATCCTCATCATCATCATCACCATCCATACCATCAGCATCGCCATCACCATCACCATCGTCACCATTGTGGTCCGTAGGACTTGGCTCAAGGTAATGTCGTCGTCCGCTCCTGCGGTTTCCCCGAGCCCTCCTTCGGTTTCCCCGAGCCCTGCGGCCTCCCCGAGCCCTGCGGCCTCGTCCTCTCCTTCGGTTTCCCCGAGCCCTGCTTCTTCGAGAGCGCCTTCGGCGGCTTCTTCGACAGCGGCCTCGGCGGTTTCTTCGAGAGCGGCATCCTCGAGCCGTGCGGCCTCGTCGAGAGCGGCCCCGACGAGCCGCTCTCGACGAGGCCGCGCGGCTCGAGGATGCCGCTCTCGAAGAAACCGCCGAAAGAAATTGAGTGTGTTGAAGATTGGGATCTCCTCTTGAGGCCCTGAGGGGCGAGGAATTTCTGGCAATCTCTCTTGATGCCCTGTGGGGAAGATAGCTCAGCTCCCAGGGAGCTATAACATACGATGTTAGAGGTCCCACGGAGTTCTAACACATTATGTTAGAGCTCCCACGGAGCTCTAACATACGATGTTAGAGCTCCATTGGAGCTCTACCATAATCCAACATGCTATGTTAGAGCTCCACTGGAGCTCTAACATACGATGTTAGAGCTCCCAGGGAGCTCTAACATAATCTAACGTGCTTTGTTAGAGCTCCGTTGGAGCTCTAACATGCCATGTTAGAGCTCCCTGGGAGGTCTAACATGCAAGGTTAGAGGTGCCGGGGAGTTCCCTGGGAGCTCTTACATCATTTACATCATGTTTCAGCTCCCAGGGGGGGCTATAACATGACATGTTAGAGGCCCCACGGAGTTCTAACATACGACGTTAGAACTCCCAAGGAGCTCTAACATACTCTAGCTTGCTATGTTAGAGCTCCCTGGGAGCTCTAACGCGCCCGCCGCTGCCGCCGCCGCCGCCGCCCCTGGATCGTTCCACGATCGATTGCGCAACGGTTAAGGCCGCCCCCTTCTCGCCAGGGTGGGGCTTTAACCGTTGCGCAATCGATTGCGCAACGGTTAAGACCCCCTCCTCTCGCCAGGGGGGTAGCCTCAACCGCTGCGCAATCGACTTTGACACGGTTAAGGGGCGGCGGCGGCGGGCGGCGGCGGAGCGCTTAACCGTTTCACAATCGATCGCGCAACGGCAAGACCCCCCCCCCATGGCGAGAGGGGGGGGGCTTAACCGTTGCGCAATCGATTGTGAAACGGTTAAGGGGCGGCGGCGGAGCGCTTAACCGTTTGACAATCGATTGCGCAACGGTTTGAGCCCCCCCCCGGCGAGAGAGGGGTCTTAACCGTTGCGCAATCGATTGCGAAACGGTTAAGCGGTTGCGGGGCGGCGGCGGCGGCGGCGCTTGACCGTTCCACAATCGATCGCGCAACGGTTAAGGCTCCCCCTTGGCGAGGGGGGGAGGGGGGGGGGGGGCTTGACCGTTGCGCAATCGATTGTGAAACGCTTAAGGGGCGGCGGCGGCAGCGGCGGCGGCGGGCGCGTTAGCGCCCCCAGGGAGCTCTAACATGGCATGCTAGAGCCCCCTGCCTTCCATCGCCACGTTCTTCCCCCGCCCCCTCCCCCGAAAAAAAATCCACGAACTACAAATTAATTGGCTATAGCATTTCATGTAAGAGCTCCGCCGAGGGAGCTCGAACATGGCATGTTAGAGCTCCAGGGAGCTGTAACATGACATGTTAGAGCTCCAACGGAGTTCTGTCATAGCGTGTTAGGTTATGTTAGAGTTCCCTGGGAGCTCTAACATCGTATGTTAGAGCTCCAATGGAGCTCTACCATAGCATGTTAGATTATGTGAGTCCCCTGGGAGCTCCAACGTCGCATATTAGAGCTCCAAGGGAGCTCTAACATAGCATGTTAGATTTTGCTAGAGCTCCCTGGGAGCTCTAACATCATATGTTAGAGCTCCGTGGGAGCTCTAACATGTCATGCTAGAGCTCCCTGGGAGCTCTAGCATCGCATGTTAGAGCTCCGTGGAGGCGCGAACATGTCAGGACATATGCCAGATAACGAAACCAAACTACCATGATAGGCCAATCTACCATAAGAAACCAAGCTACCATAAGAAACCAAACTACCATGAGAAGCCAAGCTACCCTAAGAAACCCAGCTACCATACTACGCCAAACTACCATAAGAAACCGAGCTACCATACGACGAAGGATGGCCGAGTGACCTCGCGCGGGCCGCTGCCTGCGGCAGTAGCTTCTCACGCGGGTATCGTTGTCGTATAAGTCTTCTCACAGCGGCGCGCCGCCGCGTTCCCTTGTCGCAGTCCCCATCAGGCTTCTCGCAGCAGCCTCGCGCAATTATGCTGAGGCCTTCCTGTGCTGGCTCATCCTTGGGTCCCCCAGTAGGCTCTGCCAATGCTCATCCTGACCCTGGCCTGAAGTATCCACAACCGCTCTGGAGTCTTCCAGTTTCCTGGCCCGCACCATCTGATTGTGCGTAGTCTCGCTTGGCTCGAGAAGTTTGTGGCGAGTTTGCTCTATCGAGGGCCTGCCGCCTTTCTTTCCGATGGCCCCGAAGGTCTTGAACCTCCGTGGCAAGAGTTAAATCGCGGTATACCGCGCTCGCGGCCATAAATCGATCTCCCCTCAGGCGTTGACGAAGAGGATATCGGTTGGGGGCGGCGCCAACTTGGTTACCACGGCGGCCATGCTTCAATCGCTGGCCATAGCAGGAGCTCAACGAGAAGCGTGTCTTCATATCATATTGCCAGGAGTGGGTACCTTCTCAGTGAAGAGCTCGCCAGCACGGGACGGATACACGATGAAAGTCGGCGGTGCGTGGAGGGCGGTGAAGCCTCGGGCAGCTTCTACGAAGGTGCTATTCACCGCCTTTGGCGACATGGAGGAGCTGCTGGCATCGGGGTGCCATCCTGCTGCTGCTGCTGCTCCAGCGCCAGAAGTACCTGGGCATGGTGATGAAGGAGCAGAAGAACCAGCAGAAGCATAATAACCAGCAGCAGCGATGGCAGCAGCGCCGAGGAGGGCGCCGAGGGCGCGATGGTATTCACGTGAGGAACTAGAGGATGAGCTCAGCAGGGGGACATGTGAGGAGCTAGCAGAGCGGCTCCTCAGGGGGCAGCAGCGTTAGAAGTAGAGTGCTAGCAGCGTTCCATACCACAGGGTGCGAGCAGCAGCCAGCTGAGCCTAGCTGCAGCAGCACGCAGCCTAGCTGCAACAGCAGCAGCTGCTACAAGTAGAGAGCTGCAACAGCCGGGAGCTTTGAATTTGCTTGGGGGGCAAATTAGGTGCCGCAGCTGGGAGCTGCCTGCTGCGGGTGCCGATTACTTCACCGAACCAACGACAA